GTCAAATGAAAAAAAAAAAAAAAAGGGAAAAAAGAAGACATGTCAACCGTCATACTTGCAGAGGTTCTCAAATCCCATGTATTCATTCCGCTCAATCTTCCCGATCATGTTTGATATGCCAACCCCACCTACCAAATATAAGCAAAAATACGTTTTAGGAGTTTGTATTATTTTGCATAGTTTGAAGCATGGAAAACGTGTATTTGTCAAATCAATAAAAGGTATATCGAAGCTCACCTAGTGATACTGCACTAACGAATATGGTGAAGGCTAGAATGAAGATAATTAGAGATGCCCTTCCAAATATAATTATCAGCTTTCTCACAACATGCTGTCCGATGAAGGCAGCAACAGTAGCCACAGCAGTGAAGTACAAAGCTGCCAAATAAAAAAGGATCGTGTAACTCCATAATATTATGGAACAACCATACCCACACCTAGAGGCAAGATTACTGGCACCACTACCCCTATCCCCACCACATCATTTGAAGGTCTGGATGTTTCCCTTTATTTCCTAATTATGAAAAGAAACTTCAATAAAATTATCGTGTTGCTGTGAGCTTCCAACTTACCATAAGGTACTGGAAAACGTTTCAGAAGGTAATATTCTACAACAGACATGGATGAGGAGAAAGTCATGGCAAAGGTAGCAGTAGCACTTGAGACCTGCACATATGTCAGTAAGAAGTCAACAATCAGAATTAAGAAACAATGGAGAAACTTCAAGGTTATAATTGAGAGGAGACCAAGATTTTTCCCCCTATGTTGCCGTCATTCAGATTTATACTTGTAGGATAAGCGTCAAGGTTATAAATTCGTGCCACACATCTCAAGGATACAAAGAATCTCACCTGAGGAGGGACACCCAGCTCCAAGAAAAGTGGACCCATGATAAATCCTCCACCTAGGCCAAGTAGACCACCAACAATTCCAGCTAGTACTCCAAAAGCACAGTAGGTAACAAGCTGATGCACTCGCCAATTTGTGCCTTCACCTCCCTTGGATGCAATTACTCTCCATCCTTTATATAGACTAACTGCCTCATACAGAGATACCCCGAGTGAAACTGGGATCTGGAAAACAGAAAGGATACCATAAACCAGGTTTCAAAGAAATTGCTATGATAAAGATGATCCTTAACATTCAAGAGTTATGTCTTGATCATGCAATTCGACAAATATAAAGAGGCAATAGAGATGGAAAAGAAGGAATGTACCTGCAACAAGTTCAACACCCAATATGCCACTGAACAAGTAGCTATATGATTCTGTTGTCAAAAGTCATATTTGATCAGTTACGCCTCAATAATTCATATTCTGAATAAATAAATCAATAAATAGAGCAGAAGATAACCTTGGCGATCTGCAATACAAGGAATGCAACCCAAACAAAACAAAGAAGCCCAAGTTCTTTCCAACAAACATTTTCCCAAACAGTGACCTGCAATGATTGCATTAGATTAATATTGAGAAATATCGGTACTGAATAACAACAGGTTACAGTTTACTCACTTCTTTGTCTGTGTTATCCTTCGGGGGGTCACTGTTTGGACCACTAGGAAGAGGCTTGTATTCCACATCCCCACTACCAGTATCTGATATCATATGAGAAATATATGGGCTTACTTCAGGAGGAAAATCATTACGAAAGGATCACTGATTAAAGGATTAGGCAACTAACCATTTGACACCAAACGCCTTGCAGCCTCCTAAAATCCAAGACAAGCAGCTTTTAAGTAGTCAGCAATTAATTTTAATAATATAAACACATCACACACTTAATGAGAGAGTTTCCTCTTTGTTTTTAGTGCATTAAGCTGGAAAGGCAAGACATTCTAAAGGAAATTATCTAGGTTGTTAGCAATTATGATATTTTGAAATCAAACATCCCCAAAGTCTTTTAATTTCTCATTCATGAAAATGGAAAGAAGTTGTTTAAAATATTGTGGAAGGAATTCTTATTTAAAATCACAATGGAATGAAGAAAAAGATACACAAGCTCAAAATTCTGCACATAGTATGAGTTAACAAAATTACCTTTTTCAGTATGGTTTCCCTTTTCCATGTTTCAACACCCTTGAAGAATGCCTTTGTTGATGTTCCTGCAAGCCATCCAATCCATCGAAATTAAATAAATAGTGCTACAAGAACATTATAACTACCAAATACAACAATAAATCAGCAAACCATTACCTATAAAGAGAATAATAAGTAAAATTGTGACCATCCAATCTGCAAAGATCACATTAAAAGCGACTCCTATGCTAATTCCCAGCATGAGCATTGGCTGGATAAGCAAAGCCAAATCATAATCGATGATAGGCATATCCAGTGTAGGATGCCTTAACTTAAGGTTGTAGTAAACAGTTGAAGCTGCTGCACCCATGATCATACCTAGGAAAATGCCAAAAACATAGAATGCATGAATTCATTTAGTGTAACAGAGCAATCTGTTTTGTTAACAATTTTGCTAATAATTTCTTAATAGCATTCAAAATTCTCAAAATGCTACAGTTAGAACTTACATAATTTTTGGAAGCATCTAAATGCACCTATTTATTTCTCTTCTTTTGTCTTGGCAAGGAAATTCCTAAATCTTAAAATCACATCACAGACAGCTTACAAGCAAATGGTAAGTGTAATTTTGAATCACTGGAACTATGGGGCTTACACAATTCTGAAAGTTTTTAAGCAACAAGATGAGTAAATTTCAAAAAAAAAATTTCTTTAAAAGGAAGATTAGCTTCAGCAAGTTTATACCGATAATTTCGATTTTTCGGGTAATCTGCAGCAAAACTATTTTCCCTACGCTCAATGACAAATCAAACCAGATCAGAAAGAGTTCAAAAAGAAAATAAAGAGGAAGTCCTTTTCTCTAGGAAAGTGACAAGGAAAACATTTAAACCCAAAGGAAATAAAGTACCTTTTCTCTTTTTTCATTTTTATTAGCTTCATCAAGTTCTTTGCATCTCCTAATTCTTAAATCACATCAAGTTCAAATGTTCTTCATGCAAAGGTAAAAAGAACATAACCCATCTTACATTTTGAAATAGCAGTTGCTGACTTTGCATCAAACCCAATAATAAGGCTAAGCATTGGAACAAAAATGCCACCTCCACCAACTCCTCCTACACTCCCAAACGCTGCTCCAAAGAATCCAATTATACTTCCCAGCACAATTTGCCAACCAAATTCCATTTCCTTTAAACCAAAAGATGAAAGTAAAAATTAAGGTGGTCAAAGACGTTAATATAGTGTAAGTAAAAAGGAAGACATTGGAATATAAATACTTACAGGCCAAACATGCTGATAACCCGACTGATCAGATCGCCACAAGAAATTAATAGCTTTGAGGAAATAATTTGTTTCAGATTCCTTGGCTGAGTCCCCATTCTTCAAGCTTCTCTCAGCTGAAACTAACATGAAAGCTAAAGCAAAGTTGAGCAAATTCAACATTATCGATTTCAAAACACTCCGCTTCACTCCGAATAGCTCCATCTTGATTTCAAACAATTCGACCACCTTTCTCTATTCTTCTCTTTCTCTTTCTTCAACTTCTTTCTGAACGAATTTTCTTGAACTTCGACACTTTTTCCAACTCAAAAAATCTCACCCTTTTTTAGACCTCTAAAAATTCTCTCTCCAAACCGTTAGCTCGCACAGCACAACGTCAAGGCGTTTGGTTTGCAAGAACCCAGCGAGGAAAAAAATTTTCCAAGAAATCAATACCAGCTTGGGAATCTAAAAAAATCGTTTAATCATTTGAAAAAAGAAAAGAACTTTGGGATTTGAGACTGGCGAAATGCTTGGGAAAAACTTGCACGCAAAATCAACAACAAGAAAAGAAGGGACCTTTGGCTGACGTCTGTGTATTCTCTCTGGGAATGAGTGAGAAGAAGACGGTGAGATTTTATACAATCAAGTGATGGAAGAAAGAAAAAAAATAGGAGATCCTCAGGCTGAGCTCGGCTGGGCACGTCTACCATTAATTTATTTATTTTTTGTTCGGACGCAGTTAATTTGTGGATGGGTGGTTGACTGCTTGCCTCCATTCGGGTGGACCTCCACGTCCTCAGCCAGTCAGACTTCCATTTTACTCTCCCGAAATTACTTTATTTTATATCTTTTTAATTTCATTTAAATAAATTTTACCCACATCATTTTATCAATTACATATATTATTAATAAATTATATATTATCCTCTCTTCAATAAATAAATTTAAAAATATAAATAGTTCATTTAAAATATTTTTAAACTTTCACATATTCAGTCAAATGATAATGTACTGATAAACATAAATTCCATTTTGCAATTATTTTGATGTGATATATATAGTTGTCATTATATTATTATATAGTTGTCATATATTATTAATTTAATGCTGAATTGAAGTGTCACCTACCATTAGAAAACTTAAGTAGGTATACTCACATTTATTTTTAACAAAAAAAAAAAAAGATATACTCACATTTTTCTCATGAGTTATAGATATTTTACATTAACCTATCTAGGATTGACCTTTAAGACTGCAAAGATTTTAAAACTATTTATTTATGTACTTGAATCTTTTAATTCCATCACAAAATATATTGGCCTCTAAAATTGGGATTAAAAGAAAAAAAAAAGTTACATACAATATCTTATAATTTCTAATGCCATTCAATATAATTAAGTTTAATTTTTAAATATTTTATTAATTTTCCCTTTTTGGTACAAGGTTTATATCATCAAATTTTGCTTGGAAGTCAACTTTTAAGTAAGAGAAGCAAAAAAAATATGCCTAAAATATATTAGTCCAATGATGACTTCAAACATTCACTATGATTCAAAGTTTCAAACTTTGGGTACTACCCCTTTGCTTTTCTTTTTTGCTTTCACATTTTTCATGCTGATAATTTTTTGAAATTATGTTCGAATGAATCAACATTGATAGACTAAGATATTATTTTCTCGTCGAAATTATGATAGTACGGGGACAATTTGATATTATAATGCATATGACTCTCGTATTTTTGAATAAAATAAATCAAAAGTGATTTATGAGTTGTTGAAGTTGATACAAAATTAAATAATAATTACATTTAAAATTTATTCTATTTACATTTTTTTATCATCATAAGCAATTGGGTCATTTCATATTAAAATTAACTCTAAATAAATAATTTTTTACATTTTTTGAAACAATTTGGTTGATTAATCACAAAAACCTGCAAGTTAAAAATAAGATAAAAATTAATAAAAATAAAAACAAATATCAATATTTCTTATTTAAAAATAAAAATAAGATTTACAAAAATTAAATAACTCTCAACTTATTATCCGAACACACGATGAGTTTAATGAAAAAATCAGTTTATTTTATTTTATTTATTTGACATAATAATAAATTTTTTTGATTGAGAGTATTAAAAAGAACAAAGAAAGATTTAGTAGTTAAAAAGACGTGGTAGGAAAGGACATTCTTCTCGAGGTCTCGACTCCCGAGTAATTATGTTGTTTGTTTTAACAACGGACAATAATATTGGCTTGCGAGTTGAATCGTTGACGAAACATTACAATTTCACAATCGGACCAAAACACCGGGGTCTGAGCCTGACAGTGACCTGAGTCACAAGTAGGTTTCTCGGTTTTATCCTTCCAAAGCTACAAATCAAGTGATCATTTTGTGATTAGGAATATGTAAGCTAGCTTATCCTCTCCTCTCAATATAACTTTTAAGATCTGGGTTATATGTACATAAAATAATAAATAATTTTTAATTAATAATTAATAATTAATAATAAAAATTTACTTAATTTAAAATAAAATATAAAAATTTATTTAAATTTTTTAAAACATTATATCTATATAATTGAATTATTATTTAATTGCTTAATATAATAAAACAATTCATAATGAATATTGTTCAATCTTAATATTATATTATATCCTAATAAAAGTTTTCATATATGATTCTTTATTTTTTGTTGGCTCAATTATTCATATATGGTTCTCGTTTGTTTTTTTCTTTTTCGATATGAATGTTTAGCCGTAAATTTTGACGTTTAGAAAACAAGAGTCAATGGTTCATAACTTCGGGTTGCAGCTTAATATTTTTTCAAGTCATTTTCAAACAATTGAAAAAATAAATAATTGCATTAATGCAGAGAAAAACATACCTATAAGAGCAAGGATTAAAATAGAATAGAATGATTTCTTGCTTTGAATCCAGAAATGAAATCTCAACCTCTTTCCCAAATTATAAATAAATACTAAAGTCCATTTAAATAGTCCACGTGGCATATAAGAATATGGAAAATAATCTAATTTATTTATTTTTTGGGAGAATTTTTATTGTTTTCTTATAAAACGAGGGACACAAGTCTCAGTACATCATGGACATAACAAATCTTTAACAAAAGTAATCGAATCTATTAGTACCATCCTTTGAATGAATTCGAATCTATTAGTAGATCACGTGAAATTGTCTCCAAATATTTTAAACGAAAATGATGAGGATGACTTCTACCTAAAATCCAAATCAAGACGAAACTAAATAATTTATTAATTTTAATGAATTTAGGTATGGTAATAAATGTAGTGTACACGCAGCAGCCCAAAGGAGGGATACTTTGGGAGTATCAAGAACAGGCCGTACCAGCGGATATAGAGTTAATGTCTCGACATGTGACAATATAACGGACCAATTAATATAACAACTCAGATTTAAAGATTCTAATATGATCGAAACTCAATTTCATTAAAATTAAGAAAATATAATTTAATAAATTATTAATGTATAGCATAGTGCTGTGTGTACGGCAGTTTCAATTAATGGAAGCCATATGCTCGAACTCTCAGTTGGAAAAATGGCCGTGAATTCTGAGAGTGATAGGGACAGCTTCGTTTGGGTTGGGAGCGATTGTTCTTTTTATAAACTCTTTTTGCCTATATATGTTTTGGAAAATTTTGGATCGCCCAGAGTTCTAGCTGAGTTGTAATTAGTATATTTTGCTTTTCGTCTTTAACTAAGTTAAATTAACAATGTAAAAATAGAAAAGACATTCCCATGATTTGTGAAGTGGGAAAGACCTTGAAAAGTCACTACCCGTCAATTATCTTTGAAATCCTTTTGTTATTAACGAAGGTAATTGATTCTTGGGAGTAAATAATAACATGGACGGGAAATTTTATTTTGAAAAAAAGAATTATGTCTTTTATTTTCATGAATTGGAACAACAAAAAGTTGAATGTCGGTGGTGGATAATAATGGTAAAATCACTTCATGCTTGTCGTGTATTTAAATTGTCTGTAAAAGATTCTACTTCATAAAATTACAATTTAAGAAAGTCAATCTAATAGTAAAAGAAGTTAAAATAAACAAATTGTTTAGATTCATATTAATGCCTAGAGTTTTAATAGAAATTAACACCATAAAAATTACAAATTCAAAAAAGTCAGTTTAATGGTAGAAAAAGTTAAAATTAACAAACTATTTAGATTCATATTAATGCTTAGAGTTTTAGTGAAAAAGATGCAAATAAAGAAATGAGCAAGGCTGAGTGTCATAATCCATACCAACTCTTATAAGGTATTGTCTGTTTTGATTTTACGATTTTGTCTCACAAAAATACCTTACAGATTGGAAGTGATATGAATCTCTTTAAAACCATGACATCTTCCTCACTTACTCCACACGCGAGACTTTGCAACTCTACTTTGGAGCATTATCTGACGATGTGGGATTTCACGTCTATGTGAGGACCGTGACATCATCCGACTTCAACAAGGGCCATTTGTCTCTATACGCAACAAGAACTTTTGACATCCTCCCCCTTCAACAAGGACCATTGTCCTCTATGCAAAATCGTGACATCCTTCCCACTTCAATAAGAGTCCATTGTCCTCTACGTGAGTACCGTGACATCCTTTTCACTTCAAATAACCCACTATTTTAGTGGCACATTGCTATTTGTTTAATACTAATTGTCATGATCCACATCAACTCTTGTCAAATTATATACTTTGATCAGTTGACTTTATAATTTTATTTCACATAAAGATGTTTTACAAATTAAAATAATATAAATTCTTATGTATCAGTATCACTCTAATATATAATCGATGTAAATTTATAACACTAAGACATCCTCTTTTATTCCGTTGAGAATTTTCCTGTAAGCCATTGTGGCTCTAGTTCTGAAAGTTTATCCTACGCAAAAAATCGTAACACTAAAATACATCACATGTACCTTACCGGTCCTATCTCTCTTCTAGGCAAAGATAGGCCCGAATTAAAACGGAGAAAATACCCACGAAACCAAGTTCGATGCCGAAAACAATGAAAACTGAGAGACAATATGCGTGATAATGTCGAATGTAGAAATGGCAGGTACAAGAATGATTCCTTTGCATGCTTAAATTATAGCGTTCTCGAGACAGCAACTTAGCATGTGTGAATACAACTTTTGCTTTTGAGCTAGGCCAACGAAGCAGAGCTCGATTGTATGCATGTCTGTACCAGCAAAACCCAGACTTCGCTGCTGATCTCAAACAAAGAAATTAAAGGAAAAGAGACTCCCTCTGCGACCCAAAAGTAGAGTATCCTACTTGTAAGTAATCATCACCCTGGCATGGCGTGGCAACTGATGGTGATTATGGCGATTAATTGACAAAAGGAAAATAATTGCTTAATTACCAATAATTCAGCAATGAAATTGGGTTTCATATTCATGATCCACGTTTTTTATTGGCATTGCTTGCAAAGGCTAGGGACGGAAATGGACCGCGTGAAGTGTGAAAAACAAGTGCCGGGCGGCGAGATAGGGATAGGGTTACCAAACAAGTCAAAACTCCGCATGATTAAAAAAGGAGTTCACTTATCAGACCCGGAGACACTACAAATCTGGATAGCGTGAATGGTGATAATTGACCCGAGGCTTTGCCTTTCATCACGTCCACAGCTCTATTTGCAATTATCAGTAGCC